CTCGTAGTAGTCACAGTGTCTGCAATGGGGTTCCCGCATGGGGTAAATTCTGTTTATGTTCTTGTTGGTGTGTAAGTGTCCTGTGCGGGCTCTAAATATCAAAGTCTGATCTGCTCTACAGAAGAGATTCGAAGGGTCTTTGGGTTTGGGTTTGTCCATATACCCGAAGAGAGATATTTCTGTTTCTGCTTTGGCCCATCTGTTTAGTCACTCGTCTCTGCTTTTGGCTTGGATGATCCGTCTGCAGGTCTGTAAAGATGCAGCTGTGTCTGCCTGGGGCAGGCTTGCTCCAGTCTTTGATAGCTGGTCTGCAGTCTCATTCCTTGGTACTCCAGAATGGCCAGGCACCCACTGCAGTGTTACCCCGACGCCATAGGAAGTGCCCATATGTTTTACAATGCTGAAAATGTTCCTGTCCCCTCTGTAGTCTCCTCCTCCGGGATAATTTTCGTAGACCTTACCTCTATAAATTCTTTCCCATTTCCTTCCACGTATCTCATTTTGTTTTGATAAGTGTTTTGCGCGCTCGCCGCGACAAAATCTGACAGCAGATCATAGTAAGGGAGCAGGAACGCTAGCGAAAAGAGAAAGTTTAAGAGAAGATAATATTTAGTCGCTATCAAGTTTCGACCCTGGGACCTATTGAATGATAGGCGAACACCGTAACCTCTAGACAACGAGAACCCCCGCCACATGTACACAAACAGGAATGTGTAATTCATGTACAGAGGTTGTAAATCATTTCGAAAAAAAAATTAATGAACGTTTCCCTGTGTTGGACGAGTTGTGGATAGAGATGTGGAACTCTACAAGGGATTCCCGGTTTTGATTTTTATAATATTATATGGGATGGACCAAAAATCGTCCTGATCATTCTGTTCTGTCTCTGTAACCTTATTCTTAATTACAACAAGAGTAACAACTTTCTCCTCTTGCTACACGCCATTTTCTACAATTTACTGCTGTCGCCTGACCGTCGGGTACCGCTGGCGGTATGGGCAGCGCAGCCGGCAAAAAATCGTCGGGTCGGGTCTGACCATCGATCCCGACGCCGCTGTGGATCTAGCCCAGTAATTCTGTCATTTCGACACAACTTTCAACAAAGCTTCGAAAAAATAAAATTCACCCACGTGGACCTTAACTATATATGCAGAAAATCTATTTATGTGTTCGACAAAATATATCAAGTTTTAGAGATCTCAACCAAAATTGGGTAAAACGTAAAAATTAACATTTGCTTCTTAAACGTGTTCTTTAGGCTACATGGGTGTGCTCGGCCTATTCTGGTTTGACGACGAGGAAGGTAAAACCACGACAGTCACATCAGATGGGTATACCACCGTGCTGAGAGAGCTATGGGGAAGTTGCGGGAGGAGACGGTGTTATGCTATTGGGGTAGGCCTGGTTCCAGTGGGATGGGACCACAGTCCCCACGTCAAGAGGGACCCTTGTATGGTTGCAAGAAAGGTTTGGGGAATGCCTTATAAGCCAAAGGCTTAGAAATGAAATAACTGTGACTTATTTTCATCTCATTCCTCCCCAACTTGAACACCTTCATTTTTTTTTTTTTACTTTTTTTTTCTTTTTATAACAGACAGACGGAAACAATCCACAAACAATCGAACAGGTGAAAATCAATGTTGAACAGGTGGTCCAAAGAAGCGGCGTGTAAGAACTTGAGTGGAGAGAAATGGTCAATATCTGGAGCATACAGTTTCAATTGTCAACACCTTCCCTGCGTTTCTTTGAAGACATCAGTTTTGCATAAATTTCAAAGTTAGTGCCTACTTAGTTTGAAATAGAACAATATTGGTTAGTTTTAAGACGCTGCTAAGTTTTCCGATTCATTCAATTTCGGCTATGCTTTGTTGTTGTTTCATAAAGGCTGCATTCTCAGCTATTCACAGCCCGGCTTGATTGTGTTTGATGGTCAGTGGTCAGGTTTAAATGTAAAATTTTACGGTAAAAATGTCAGTCTTAAAAGACAACAATAATTATAAATTTCATGAAAATAACAATATTTACACCAAGTAAACGCCAATGATCTTTATAAAATCGAGAATTCTGTTGGAATCAACGACGGAGAACAGATCTTTCAATTTTGTACCGGATGTCCAAAAAGTACCCATTTAAAGGGCAAAAACTCAGTCACCTTAAGACCCCAATTTCAATAAAACTTTGAAGAAAAAAAATTTAACTAGGGAGACATTAAATTTGTAAACAAGAAATAGAATAATCAACAACGATGTTCGATAAAAATCAAGGTTGTTTTTTTAACTTCAACCAAAGTTTAGTGAAACGCAAAACTTGCAACTTCTTAAAAACTAACCCACTGATCTACTACAAATAGTCCCTATTTGTGCATTGAAGAATACATTTATGAAAAAAAATCATTGACAAATAAACCCAGAGAGGTGATGGCAATCGTAAATCTTCAGGGATTGACTATTTCTCTCCCTACATGCTTCATCCAATGCCCCCCTGGAAATGAATAACGCCGTAGCGTTTTGGGGTCGATTCTTTGGAACATTGAGTTTCAATTGTTGAATAGTTTGTGACTTGTTTCCGTAGAATATGTCCACAAACCTTTCTTGCAACCATACAAAGACTGTTCTAGACATTTGGGTTCCCACTGGAGCCAGACCTCTACAAGATAACACTTTCTCCTTCCTAAACTTTCCCCAAATTTTCCCAGTACGGTGAGATATTCATCTGATGTGGCTGTTGCGGTTTTACCGTCCTTGTCCTGAAACCAATAAGGGCCGATCATGCCCCTATAGCTGAACGTTTCTAAGAAGTGAAATGTTACTTTTTTTGTTTTGTTTTTGTTTTTTATAATTGTTTTACGGCGCTCACAACTGCATACGGCCATATGAGTGCGCGG